CTGGTGACGAAAATCAATGGAAACCACCATTTCACAATTACAGAGCTCTCATTTGAGTTTCCACAAATTTCAAGGAGTTTGTTGCATTAAGTTGTAACACACAAGCTAGGCTACCATAAGTTTTGTGCCAGATGGATACCAAAAATCTTGTCAGACAACCACAAAAAACAGCACATGGCAGCATTGTTGACATTTCTGAAAGTTTACCACAGAGATGGTGACTCACTTCTTGATCAGGTTGCAACTGAAGATGAGACTTGAATAAAACATGTAAATTGTGAGACAAAAAACCAGTTCAAGGAGTGGAAATACACAAGTTCTCCCACAAAACCAAGGAAATTTTTGCAAATGTTGTCAGCAAGAAAAATCATGGCAATTGTTTTTTGGGACAGGAAGAATGTGCTTCTGGTGTCTTTCCTCAAACATGATTCAACTCTGAGAGATATTGTGAAACATTAAAAAAGTTAAAAAGAGCGATTCAAAACAAACATTGGGGTAAATTGAGTTCAAAGATTTTGTTTGTTTTTATGACAATGCCTGTCCACATATGGCCAATTGCACTCGACAGCTCTTAAATGGTCTCGGGATGGGAGACATTTGATCATTTGCTATACAGGCCAGATCTTGCACTGAGACTACGATTTGTTTCCATACATGAAGTTGTGGCTTGCAATGTAGCNCGAAAACATATGGCAAACTTCATTAGCAGAAATGGAGAGAGGAATGGTAGAATTTAACAAGTTAGATAAAGATTTTTTCAGATGGAAGACTGTTCTTAGGGATCGCACCTGCAGAACGAAGAATAAGGAAATAAATGCACATAAAATTTTTCTTCAATAAAACATTCTACTTAGTAGTTACAGTAGACTCTCACTAATCTGGCCCTCAATTATTCAGCATACAATTATATACTAAAATGTTAGGAATGTGACACATCAGTTTTCTGATTACTCAATTTTATTTCTTTGAACAGTCTTGCAAGCAAGTGCATAATGTGCCCCTTCCTCCAAAAAAATTTTATACAGAAGGGCAATGGGTCAAGTCATTCATTGCATTTAAGCTATACATTGGTAATTCAGCATCCTTCTGTGCATGCAATGGCCAGATTAGCAAGTCTACTGCATTTTGTTTAGTTTCACTTTACTAAACATCACTCTATCCCTCATTACTGGTGGGCAAAGAAATGACTAATTTTAATATTATAAAAGATATACTTTACGGTAAACATTTAAAACAAAAATTAGAAGTGATGACTGTTGCTACTTATGCCTTTAATGTGACAAATAGTATCAAACAAGAATTCTGAGAACTCTAAACAATCATTTTTTATTTTTAAAAAAACATTTGCTACAAATATTTCTTTTCTAAAAAATCAACAACTTCAATTTCTAATCAGCAGACAACTTTTTACTATTAATTATTGGTAAAAAACACTATTGGTATTAAGTATTTTATGCATAACAGATTAAAAATAGATTTATCATCAGTTTTTAAAATAAAAGTACAGAATTATTACAAATTAATCATCAGGTTTTAAAGTACTGTAACTTCCAAGTATTGAGCTGGGTAATCCACACCCAGACAAAACAATAGAGAACTCTCCAAACTTAAAATATGTGCATGAAGACTTCCTTAAGACACACCAGGTGACAGTACATCCACTATCAAAATGGTGATTATGCAGCAGAAGAAGTTGTGTTGTGAAATATGGAAAGTGCTCATCCTTAGTCAGCATACAGCATGTGTTCTGATAATACCCAAACACGGAATTGGGTGTTGCGGTAATGATGATACAGCACTATACAGATGGCCTCCTAAATCTCCAGACCTCACATCGAAGATCTGGGAGAATTTTTCCTGTCGGGTATGTAATGGATGTGATTAATATGCCGCCGTTACCAACATCTTTGGCAGAGTTTCAAGACCACATTACTGCTATAATGAAGACTATCCATGGAGACATGCTACAACACATGGGGCAAACTGGACTACACTTGGACATATGTTATGTTACCAAAGAAACACATAGAACATCTGTAGTCCTATAAAATAAATCTAAACAGTTTCTTATTCTTTTAATGTATCACTCATTGTTATATATAAATTATTGTTGGAAATAAGGCTTGAAATNCGCCCCGTTGTCGGAAAACGGTTTAGGCTTTGATGCATAAACCCCAATTCTCACACAGCACTATACAGATGGCCTCCTAAATCTCCAGACCTCACACTGAAGATCTGGGAGAATTTTTCCTGTCAGGTATGTAATGGATGTGATTAATATGCCGCCGTTACCAACATCTTTGGCAGAGTTTCAAGACCACATTACTGCTGCAATGAAGACTATCCATGGAGACATGCTACATCACATGGGGCAAACTGGACTACACTTGGACATATGTTATGTTACCAAAGAAACACATAGAACATCTGTAGTCCTATAAAATAAATCTAAACAGTTTCTTATTATTTTAATGTATCACTCATTGTTATATATAAATTATTGTTGGAAATAAGGCTTGAAATNCACATGGGGCAAACTGGACTACACTTGGACATATGTTATGTTACCAAAGAAACACATAGAACATCTGTAGTCCTATAAAATAAATCTAAACAGTTTCTTATTATTTTAATGTATCACTCATTGTTATATATAAATTATTGTTGGAAATAAGGCTTGAAATCATAAGATGAATTTTTAATAACCTGTATATTTTCATTCATTTTACAAACTATGTAAAATGTGCATATTTAAAATTTAAAGATCTTAAAATAAACTAATTTTCCTTTATTAATCAAGTAACATATTTATATTTTCTTCTTTAGTAAGAAATTTCATATTGATTAGTTTTATTTTCAATACAAGTGTAATATTTGAATAATACATTATTGTACAAGGGAGATCAATAAATAAGGTAACAAGTGTATTTCCAAATATATCTTTCTTAACAAACATGTGAAATTACAGCCAGACATACTTATGTAAAAACACTATGTTTCCACATAATCACCAAATTTGTCCAATTATTTGTTCCACTGGGTAATCAATTCATCCATTCTGTCAGAAAAGGATTTTGCAACAAAACCCTCTGGCCAGGCAACATTGGCCTGTTGTGTAATCTCCATAATCTGAAATTGTTGTTCATAGAAATGATTTTTTACAGGTCCAAAGAGATGAAAGTTGTGGGGTTCCAGGTATGTTGTGCAAGTTTCTGTTCTCCTCCTCGATCCAGCCTGCATCAGCATTGTGTGTAATAGCATTGGACCAAAGAGAAGACCAATAAGTTGCAAGTTATTCTTCTGTTGGTGTGCCACTGTGCTGTGTATCGGTGTTTGTTTTGGTACTGATTTGTCTGTAGAAAAGTTTTTCATTGTTTGTGAATAATTTATTTTGTTGTTTTCATAGTGTATGTGTTTTGTATCATTTGATTCTATGTGCTTTGGCTGCGAGTTTCTGTTTTAGTGTATCAATATATTCTGTAATGTGTGTGTTGTGATGTTCATATTTTGTGTGTTTTGATTTTCTTGAAAATGTTTTTGAGTTGTTTCTTTAATTTGGGTGTTATGTTGTTTTTAGTGTATTGTGTCAGCCTGCCTAATTGCTGTCTAATGTCATTTATTTATGTTTCTATTCTT